TTTGACATATCAAACTATTTTACTGGTTATTTTAAATGTGCACTAGCAGTTTGGGCACAATGGACGTGCTCTCTTCACTCCTTTAAATCATAACTTAGGCTGACAAGTTCTAACAAAATGCATAAATATCTTTAAAGATTGAATAATGCAGCAACAAAAACAGGGTAATTAATCATAGTGACCTGCTATTGTAACAGTTTGTAATTGTAAACACATCACTAATAAGCTTAAATCAATTTTAATACTGTTTCTGTATAATTCAGCGAAAGGTTACAGCTCATTAAAATGCATTGATTTATTATTTTAGCTGCTACTCAAATCAGATTCTCCATCTGTCCGTTGGATTAATGTGCGTGTTTTCAGTACAGAGTTCATAAACTCAGGCTGTTTTCCCAGCAGCTGGCATTTTGATGATTTTAAAGCGGCGGTTAGATCATGTGACGGTTACCAGGCTACCAATACGGTGTCCCAGGTGAGACTAAAGAAACAGCTGTGAGCCACAACATGACTAAAAACTGAGGTATTAGGTCAAATCCATAAATAAAGATCTTAAAAAGTGCAATTCAAGCGTGTGGGAAGCCAGTAGGGAAGTCACACCACAGCAGGTATACTGTATAGGTCCACACAAGACTGAGAGAACTGTTTTTGCTGTATGGGTCCAGTCAGCAACTTTCATTGGAATGAACTGAGTGCTGCCTTAAAACGTGGCATCTGCTTCCCTTAAAGCTCTTCTCCAGTCATTGATTTAACTTCTACAAGCTAATTACCGTGTGTCAAAGTTCAAGGTTCATGGCTGGGAGAAAACAGTTTTGGATAGCAGGAATTAATGCCCAAAACACACACAATCAATCCAATACAGACAACACACAGGACACGTGCAAAACATTGGCTTGTGTTAATACGGTGCAAGTTGCTTCAGGCCATCCCTGAGAACCTCCTCAATCAGCAGCTACGACCGTGTTTCTGTCCGTCTCTTATTTATCTATTCATTTATTTTAATTTTTTGTTTGGGCTTTTTAGCTTTTATTATAGTTGAAAGTGTAGAGAGAGACAGGAAATATGGGGAGAAGAGTGGGGGAAGGACTTGCAGTAAATGGTCATAGGTCGGACTCAAATCCCCAACCTCTGTGTTGGGGACTGCAGCTCCTGTTCATGGGTCGCCCGCCCACCCTGCTGAGCTATCCGGGCACCCCGTCCACTGTTTTAGTATTATTCACGTCGACTGACGGAGAGATGATTTAATGTTTGTACCGGTTGTATTTGCACAAAGGGACTCTTCCCAGGATTCATTAGCACATGTTCAAAACTCAACACATAAAGAGCACCACATTAACTCATAACAACCTGCCTGATGGTGGGCTGGACTGGAGATCTGAACTTCAGATCTGACTGCTAACCCTCCTATCACCTTCAAATTTACTGACAGCTTTTATCCTTGGGTTCAGTTTGATCCCAGCAATTTAAACCTCCAGACATTAAAAGTGTTACCCAAGTTTATGTGTAAATAGCCCTTTAAACAAAACTGAAAACATTATGTCAATCACTTATTTTGAGATGCTAAACATTGAATGGGGTCAAATTGACCCCAAAGATAACAGGAGGGTTTAGTTTTCAAACCAGCTGCCGTAGAACAGAATCCATCCCTTAATGTCTTAAAATAGATTACATGTAACTCTGTACTGTTGTTTCCTCTCAGAGGCGCAGGTCTACCAAGTTTCCGTTGCTCAAGCACACCAGCTCGCCTACAACTCTTCTCAAACACTAAAACCACTTAAACATGTAAACTGATTCTGAAGAAGAGGAAAACAGAAAATCACAGCTTGCAAGTTGATAGGATTGGGTTTTTTGTAGGTTTGTTATGAATGAAACCGTGAAATCCTGAATCTAATGTTTCTGGGACTATCATCAATACGCTCAGCTAGAGCACTGCCTGCTTTTTAGGCTCTGGCATGTAAAAACACTATATGGACGGACATCCATCCATCCATCATCTATACACCACTTAATCCTCACTAGGGTCATGGGGGGCTGGAGTCTATCCCAGCTGACTCAGGGTGAAGGCAGGGGACACCCTGGACAGGTCACCAGTCTATCACAGGGCTACACTTAGAGACAGACAACCAAGCACACTCACATTCACACCTACGGACAATTTAGAATCACCAATTAACCTCAATGTGTTTTTGGACTGTGTGGGAGGAAGCTGGAGAACCCGGAGAGAACCCACGCTGCACGGGGAGAACATGGAGACTCCACGCATAAAGATCCCGGGTGTCCTCACCGGGACGCGAACCGGCTACTAAACCACTGTGCCACCTTGCAGCCCTACACGGACATGCCAACAAGGTAAATAAATGAGATTTTTTTTCACGTAAATACAGTCTACTGATGCACTGACTGATATACTGTCTTAAATTAAACAGTACACGTATTGCATTTTCTCCCAACATGAATTTATAATGTACCAACAGTTCCCTTTCCCATCTATTACAAACTGATGCAACCGTGTCTGGCAATGAAGAGACAAAAAGTAAATTTTCTATAACGCAGAGGAAGGCACTATCTGACTGGAGACACACAATGATTTCTACAGATTCAATTCTGGTAGACTGGAATTTTTTTTTTGATATGAGAGCACTGAGGAGTTATAATATTGGGTTAGAAAAAAAAAACACATTTGCTATTTAAAATGATGTATTATGTTCATCGGTGTGTTTCAGGAATGTGTTTTAAATGGATCTCCAAATCAATGAGGGCCTGTGACTTCTGGGATGTAAAGTAGAAACGCAGCTTCTGTTACTGTGCTGCTGCAAATTCCTTTAGCTGCTGCTGGCGTTTGAGAAATACTGTCGAGTTCCTTAGTTTTCAGGCTCCCACAGTTACTCTACTGAGAAAAGATTCTTATTCTCAAGTGTGTCACCATTACCCATTATCATTTGTTTGTGTGTAAAACTGCTCCGTACTTATTACCTCATCATCTCCCCGTGCAAAACTGTAGAATAATTAAGGGGTAATTAAAGGTGGTTCTCTGCAATCTTTGATTAAAAACACGACAAGGTGAGGATACAGCCTGTTTGATGAATATAAATGTTGCCCACAGTCTCAAATTGACGAAGAGGAACTTGCTGAAACATTTCTTCCACTTTTTTTTCCCCGTGGAGCGATTTTTCAGTTGTTACAGATTCAAGAAAATCTGTTTAACTGTTTTTCCACAGTGCAGGAGCATCCAAGTGATTTAAAGGCGCATTAATAAAGACTTGTGCTAACTTTGCTAAATCACAAAGTGGGTGTACAATAGACAAGCGTGTGCTGCTTCCCCACGAGTACGGGAGGATTTAGTGGGTTTCCATAGGCCTGGTTCTCTATCCACAGGACGTGAGATATTTAAATATAAAAGCAAAAATCTGCCCTTTGCACAGCAGAGAGGATTCCATTCACTAACATTAGATATTTTTCCCACATTGTCGCTTTAATATTTTGAGCTACAAAGCGATCACACTGGTTCACGGTTCAGGTTGCATATTCAGGCTTTACATGCAGCTTACGGTGTGTAGGTATGCACCTCTGAGGATAAACATCAGTCACAACCTTTACCTGCACTTGGTTGTTATATTTAGGCGCTCTTACTCACCTTCCCGTGAATCTTTGGTCCCAGGGGGAGTCTCCGTGTTGCTATAGAGACCAGAATACAGAACATTGCCGAGGAGAAGGCAACAGCAGCAAACACCAGACCCCAGGAGAGACTACAGAAGTAACAGGAGCTCTCAGCAGATGTGCACACCAAGACGTGCACTGAGGCAAGAAGCAGGCACAAGAGGTAGAAAGGCAGGGAGAGCAGGGCCGAGAGGACTGGGAGGTCCACCGCTGCTCCGCCGCTGAGGGCTTCAGGCATCGCCAGCAGTAAGACCAACAGGAGCTAAAAGGCCAGGAGCGAGGACGAGAGAGGGGAGAGAGAAGGTTTTACACTTTGATCAATTGTTTGTGCAACCACAGACAGCTACGTTTGTACGTCTTAACTAATTAATGGAGACCATATTAGCAGCTAAGAGCAACTTATGACAACATTTGGTTTCCTTCATAGATCTATTATAGGTCGTTTGGAAAAATGACAAAATCTCCAGGATCAGTGAGTGATTGACTCCAGCTGCTGACTCCTCTGAGCCGATTTAAATAGTTTGATCCACTCATTAGATTCTGTCACAAATGCTTCAATGGGAAAGTCTAAGGAGCTCAGCACAGCACACTGAAGGAGCAAATCAGTGACGTGAACAAGTCAGGAAAGTCACTTATTATTTCAAAGTAGGCAAAATGATCGATGATGATCCACCTTCGAGTGGAAAGTTCTATCAGATAAAATAAAACTTCAGCTATTTGGCCATATTGCCCACAAATATGTTTGGAGGAGAGAAACCTACCAAACCTACCGCCAAGCATGGTGGTGGCAGCATCATGCTCTGGGGCTGTTTTGGTGTGTTTGGAACTCGTGTTTTACACAAAGTAAATTGAATAATGAAGGAGGAGATCACCTCCACATTCTTCAGGAAGTCCTAAAATCATCACCAGAAGGTTGGGTCTTGTACACAGTTGGGTTTTCCAGCAAAGCAACGACCCCAAACACACATTAAACGTGGTAAAGAAATGGCTAAATCAAGCCAGAAATAAGGTTTTAGACCAGTCTCCCAAAAGTCCTGACCTGAACTCCATCAATAACTGTGAAGTGAGATGAAGAAAACAAGTCTGTCAGAGAGCCAACAAATTTAGTTTAACTGCGCCAATTCTGTCAAGAGGAGTCAAAGATACAACCAGAGGCTGGTGGATGGAAACTAAAAGCAGGGTGAAAGGTGAAAACAGCCAAGGGATGTTTAACCAAATATTAGCACTGCTGCATGTATATTTTGACCCAGTAGATTTTGTCATATTTCAAAAAAAGACCTGTAATAAATTTATGACAGGACCAAGATGCATGATTATGTTTTGGGAGGAATGACACGTGGGTTGATTTCATCATAGAAAATTATAGGAGTTACAGGAGTCATTAGAAAGTCAATATCCATGATCTTTACAAATGGATGCAAACTTCTGTTCACAGCTGTTAATGAATGCAGAGCAGGTTTGAAGTCATGTTTAGACTTAGCCAATACATCCAATCACTTCTTCTTATCATTCCTACAGTGTTTACTGTGCAAGTTCACAAATGTCAACCCACTTGTGAGTCAGATTTAGTTTCATTTGCATCTGCTCCTTCAAAAAAACACCACTGACCTACCAGCCACACTGATCTATCAGAGCACCTATGATGAATAAAGTCCTCCAGTACTCACCTGAAACACGAACACCATGCCCGCGATCATCGAGTACATGTCGTATTTGCCCAGCTGCTTGCTGAGAGCAGAGCTCATGGCAGCTAAGGCCTCCAGGTACTGCTTCAGGACCTTTTTGCCCATGTTGGTCAGCACCTCAGAGGTGTTCCCTTCCAGGTAGAGCTTCATCCAGTTCCCATGAGCCTTTTCTGCCACTCGAAATTGCTCAAAACCTGGGTCTGGATTAGAAAGCAGTGTAGAGAGGGGGCATGTTTAATGTATTGTGTACTTTAAATTCTTGCATTCTGCTTGTTGCTGTTGTTTTGCGGACCACATCGGCTATCACACTTATCTGAATCTGTCAAAAGAAGGAGGACATTAGGATTTGTTTACGCTTTATTTTGAATTTCATCGGTTTTCCGCGGCTGTTCCACTTGTCACACAATTACGCTGTTTGCTGCCGTTTGATTTATCTGAACAATCAAACTTCTTTATGAAAACGCACAAAGGTTCGGCCGTTTGATGACGGTGCCAAACTTTATAATCTATCTCCCTGAGGCAGAAGTGCAATATTCCTTGTAGTATAAGATAATTAGTGGCATTATTTTCTTGCATAGTCTAACAAGCTGTCAACACATTGTGACATATTAATAATTCTATAAGCGGGGCTGAATGCTAAGCTACAGCTGGCTGAAGTTAGAAACACTGGCGGAAATCCTCATTTTTTTACTTTTAGCTTTTTCGAAACCCAAACGGAACCAAGACAATAAGTGAAGAAAAGCTATGGCAGTCTGGAATGCTTTGTCTCACTTAAAAAAAAAGTGTCTTCAGGCTGCTGCCTTTCATCATACACCAAATACAGGCATCTTCTAACTGTTTTGTTTCCTTATGAACACGAGTTCAGTAATCCTATTTATGACCTCATCAGTCATTCTGATGTATGTCGGATGTTTTGTTTTTTTTTAAAAATGGGAAATCTATTAAATTTCTGTATTTCTTTTTCCGTGTCAATAATGTTGCTTAAATTGAAAAGACAATTTGCCCGTGGTGAAACTATTTAGTTCTGAGGAAAGCAACGTGCAATTTGTCATTTCGCTAACTATGACAAGCGATGAGTCATTCACATGTTTACTCAAAGCAGATGATGCGATGTCCTTTCATTTTGCTTCAGAGCTTTAGAAGCCTGTTCAAGGACAAAGCAATGTGGAGGTTTGATTTGTGGTATACTTCTGTGAGGCACACACACACACACACACACACACTGCTAAAAACAATATTTTGCAGTATAACACCATCTCAGCAGCATAGGCATAGAGGTGATGAATAGTCACTGTGGCTTTGCCAGACAGAGGGCTTGGTAGAAATATTAGAACCTTAAGCCACAGGCATGAATCATATAGTATCAATGGGCCCGGCCATGTTTCATCTGTCTAAATGTACAGGGATTGGCTAATGGCTCTCCAACACGCCTGAGGTTAGAAGCACGAAAAAACACAATATGAAGATTGAAGCAAAGCAGACAGACAGAGAATGAGGCAGAGCAATATGAAGGCAGAACAGAGTGTTTTAAACCTTCTATCACCAGAGCTGAACTTTAAAAAAAATTTACCGTCATATGTTCCAGGTTATTCTCATTTGGGACACAGAAAAGTGATTAAAAAACTTTTGCACAGCAATGCCAAAATCCTAAAACATCCACCATCACACTCACACTGAGAGCCTTCCTAAATGATTTTTGGATGAAATAGTTTCTCCCTAAAAAAACATATTTGAATACTGAAATCAAAAACATACATTTTCAAACAGAGGGCTGATTTTTTTCTTTTTTAACGAACTTCTTTCACACTCAGTAATATTTGACCCCAACAGGTGTCCAACAGGCCTGCTACTTAAAATATCATCCCAGGCGAATTTCCCAGCACTGACAGCTATTACATTGTACCGCATAACAGCTTCATGATTACCCAAGTGGACAGATTCAAAAAAATCAACACATCCAAATGTAGGTCTGCTGAAATAATTTCCATTTCATCCCATCACTATGGAAACCAGGGACCAAAATAGAGTAGAAAATGTGCTGCCAGAGCGGTAAGTTTTTTAATGTGACAGGAAGTAGTTTGTTTCAAGTTCTTAAATTGCAACATTTGTTGTTTGCTGCACAGTTTGTCTGTTCAAAAACCTGTTTTTGTGCAACACTCTGTACGTTTGTCTTACATTTCGACATATGTAACGCACGGCAACATACTGTATACAATATGTTATTATCACCAGCATGCACTGACTGGTAACTGGGAAAACATACAAATGTGTGGGCCTAAAGATGAGCAATGCTTCAGGCTGAATGTGAATGTCTCCGTGATGATAACAGGCGCACATTGGCAGAGCTAACACGCTGAGGCAACTTCACACAAGTAAAACTTTACCATCAGTTTAGTTTAGTGGGTTAGCATGCTAACAAATGCTAATTAGCACTAAACACCAAGTATAGACAAGGCTCACGGGAATGTCACTGAATATAAAAGTATTTATGATATGAACATCAAGTGGAATGTTAGCAAAGAATAAAGGCACACTCCTTCTCTGTTTGATGTAATCAAAGTCTTCAGTTCCATGTTTTAACTGCTGGTCCAGATACGTGTGCATGTTAGTGCATGTGAGTCCCTCACATTGAATCTGTGGCCCTCCCTCCAAACTAAGAGTGACCTCCAACACCGCATTGAAAAAGCAAAAGTGCAGTCTAGTGCTAGTC